TGTGCATCACAAAAATTCATTCAAAGCTTGTGTGTAGTACTGTACATCTGTCTCATGTTTTAATTTAGTCACCACTTAAATTAAATTCTTGTCAAAAAGTTTCCAGAAAACTGATCTGCCTTAAAGCTTCCTTTGTCCTCTTGACACATCACTACAAATTATAGTGTGGCGATCTTTTCCCATCCCCACTTCATTCACTCATTCAATCCTTCATTCAATCAGTAAGAATCACTATGAGTCAGGTACTATACTGGGTCATAGTGCTATAAAAAATAAATAGCAGTACAAATATAGTTACTGGATCGGCTCTCAAAGAGCTTGCAATTTGTCTAAGCAGATACACTAATAAATACAACAAAAAGATAACAATAGAGGTACATGCAAAATTGTTTGGCATAAGGTAGAGAAAACCACAGAAGAGGTAAATCGAAATACCAGTTTGAAGGGAATAAGGGATCGTAAGGAGGACATCCCTACAAAAAGTACCAAGGCTTAAAATAGAACAATAATCTGTACAGAGGGCCACAGGCAGCTGTACAGACCCAGAGCACAGGACACAAAGGAATGTGATAAGTGACAAAACAAGAAAGATAAGGACTAAAATACCAAACTAAAAGGTTTGGATTTTAGCCTGTTTGAAAACTTAGTTTTCCTCTTTCAAAAAAGGGTTGTCCCATACAATTACAGAAACATCTCTAACACGAGTTCTTAATTTTTGTGTGTGTGCCATGAACTTTTTTGGCAGACTGCTGAAGCCTACCAATCTGTTCTTAGAATAAATAAAATAAAATTAATAAAATAAGATATACAGCATTCCATAGTGAAGCATAAGTATGGGCTGTGCATAGTGACTTTCTCCTAAAGGGGTTCAGGACATGCTATCCCAAAATATGGCACATTGGCATTTGAGAAGATAGCAGAAGCAGGAAAACCACTCTCACCTTTCTCTTGCCCTTCTCCCCGGAAGCAGGTCATAAGCCCCTTAATAGAGAGTTGTTCTCCCTACATCCGTAGGAAAATAATATCCTTATCTCTGAAGACATAGGGACGCAGAGAAGAATCTGAACAGAACTTGCTAAATTCTCCCTAGTTTATTACCATTAGATCATACATCCTTTGTCCAATGATACTTCTCCATGACTCCTACCTCTTCATCAAACTTAGTATAAAAATACAGAGCTTTCCTGGTCTGTTTTCATTTTCATGTCCTTAAGAAGGTTCCCATGTCATGTAAAACTCAATTTTGTATGCTTTTCTCTTGTTCTTCTGTCTTTTGTTACAGGTAACTCAGCCATGAACTTAGCAATAGGTGAGGAAAAGAAAGCTTTTCTACCCTACACTTCCAAAGAGTACAACAGGTACGGAAAGGAAGGGGGGAAAAAAGAGTAACCTTAGAGTGGAAGAAACGTGATAAACACTACACCTCAGCCAGGTGATCAAGGTTATATCAACAGTAATCAGGCATATCAATAGTATGTACTCTTGATGTAATGCAATGAAAATGGCACTTCAATTCTCTGGCCTTCATCCCCAAAACACCAGTCTAACGATGAGAAAAACACTGAACAAATCCCACTTAGGAGATGTTCCACAAAATATCTGACCTGTACTCTGAAAAACTGTCAGGGGCATTAAAAAGAGGAAGGGCTGAAAAACTGTCACAACAAAGGGGGCCTAAGGAGACATGACCACTAAATGTAATATGGTTTCTTGGATAGGATTCTAGAACAGAAAAAGGACAATAGGGAAAATCAAGGAAGTCTGAATAAAGTATGAACTTCAGTTAAAATATGTGTCAACATTGGTATAATTGTTGAGAAAAAGGTACCATTCTAATGTAGTATGTTAACAGTAGGGAAAACTGGGTGTGGAAAATACAGGAACATTCTGTACTATCTTTGCAATAATTATGCGAATTTAAAATAGTTCTAAAATAAAACAAAAAACAAGATGCATAGGATCAAAAAGGAAATGAATCACACTGAAATTATTATTTTTAAAAAACAAACCTGTGATGTAGTACTATATGTGCTTCTTTATTAATGTATTAAGTAACAATTATCTATAGGCAGGTCTAATTATGGTAATTCAAAAAAGTGATGCATGTAAACAATATTTCCAGCTATTTGCAATAACCATAATATATGAAATTATCTGAAATTTCTATGGTGACAATCAAATATACTGACATTCCTACAGTTTGTGGTCTACAGTCAAAATTTCATTTAGAGTTTAGTAAAAATAAAGATGTAATTATTTTCCTGTCCAAATTCAAAGACCCTTGAATTCTACCCATTGACTGTATGTTAAGAATCATCTTCTAAAGGAAGAGAGAAAATAAGTACTAACACTAAATGGATACTGTGTTGCAGGATCTCTGATAATCACTGTATATACTTCATGTCATTAAACCCTCACGAAAATACCATTCCACAGATTAGGCAGTTTAGGGAAGTTATTTGTATGAAGTCATGTGACCAAAAATAGATCCAAACTATAAGGTGACTCCAAATGAAGACTCTGACAAAGTACCCCCTAAAAATTTTCCAGCCCCTAGCTGAGAAATTTTTGAGGAACACTCTACTGATTATACTACAATTCACCAATGCTCCTTAATATTAAACAACTTTCTGTTTGAGCAATCAGGTTAAAATTAAAATGTAACGCTTCCTAGAGTTCCATATGGAAGAATAAGCAACAGCAGCAGCAGCAGCTCACCCAAAGAAAAAAGGTAAATATAGAAACTCCCCACCCTTGTACAAAATGAAAGGTACAATTTTTACTCCATTTTTCAACTTGGACACACACAGTTGCTAGTATCCTTCTAAGATGTGTATATGCTTATGTATGCTGTTTAAATAAATTTACAAACATATGAGATAACTAAAGCATATTTTATTCAGTCTATGGCAGTTTCTTAGGTTTACCAACCAAGTATCACTAAATCCTGTTTTCTTAAAACAAAAAGTTCTCAGACTACAATGATCTATCTCCTAATCCTCATTTTCAAACATAAAGCAGATTTTCTAAAAACACTAACCGTGTGCAACAATTCATTTATCTCCAACTTAAAAATTCTCAGCTGATATATGCTACTCTATGAAAGCTATATCCAAATTATGATTTTTTTCCTACAATATGCCAATATATCAGGAACTATAACTTTTTATTTTTTTTTTATTTTTTTCCTGATGTTGAATAGTACCTTATTTTTACATTATAAAATCTTTACATATGTATTTCATGTCATTTGAAGAAGATGAATTGAGACATTTTCATTTTCTGGAAGTCAGCTCTTTGCCATAATTTCTTCTTTCTTTCTTTCTTTATTTCGAATATTCATGAGAAGGAATAATAACTAAACGGAGCTAGAACTGAATCTTTAGTCTATTCCTCAGCAGTTGTGTTATCTTTGTTATTACTGTAAAACACTTTAGGTTTCAAAGTTTCATATTATCAATCATCACTGGCAATTGGTAGTAATAAGAGATCCTTATTACATAAGGATTGAAAGAAAAAATGGTTGTAAAGCACTAAGCAAAGTGTCAAACATTTTTAATGAAATTTCCTTACTTTTGGGTTTACTTTCAACTTGTAAATTTTCCCTTAGCAAGGTTCACAGAGGGTCTTTGCTGTAATATTTGTGTTTTAGCTGATTCTTTAAATAATGAGCGATTACTCAAGAGAAGGATTTTATCTTTCTTTGGAAGGAGCCAACATCATCTCCATTTAAGGACACATAAGCAGCTGCTGCTACACATTTCAGTTACCCATAAGAAAGTGAAGTGGGCTGAGTTCACTCTGCTATAAGTATTAAAAAAATTAAAAATTACAAATAGCTCCTCCAAAATTAGAAATTTAAGAATTAAAATTGGTAGGTGTGGTGATTTAAGTAAATCTAATATAAAAACAAAAAATTACATAAAACAACAGGACAACGATGCCTGGCTTTTCAAAAGGATTCTTTTCCCAGTTCTACGGTAAGATAAACTGTTCTGGGAAGTTCAAAATATCATACCTCTTAACTAAAATTTCATTTATATAGTAATTTTTCAGAAAAGTAACTGCAGAATTAAAATGAAGCACATCTTTTTAGAAATACTACACAACTTGAATTTTAACACATATAAACCTATGTCAATAAAGCCTCATTAACTGGGATGCAACTGATGAGAAATCTACGATTACTTATTTTTTGCTACAAAATCCTCATACTTGTCAGCTTATTAAAAATTTTATAATATTTTATAGTAATGTAATACAGTTGTTAAAAATCTTAAATACTAAAGTTTATAAATTGCTTTTTTTCTTGAGGTGTTATATATCAGTTTAACTATGAGAATTACTATTCATAAATATATTGTTAAACCCCTAATTTAAAAAAACACAAATAAATTAAATATATATACTAGTTCTTTATAAGTTGATTTTTTAAAACCCAAAGCAGTTATTAGCCTGGTTTTCTCACAAACAGATATGAGGAACAAGAACAAACTAAGAAAGGAAAAGGGATTAAATGTGATTCTGTGAAAATAATTAATCATTGTCTTGCTAGAAGCAAACACTATGAAGCTGCAATATTAAACAAAGCACCAGCAGCAAAAATTCAATGAAAGTTATTTTACTTCACGTATTCTTAATCTGTTAGAATTCCTATTACAGTAACAACTTTAACTCTTCAACATCTTCACCATCGATATACAATTATCTCTAAGCTTGAAGATGCATGAATCTTTAAAGAGAGCTTTCTACCACCCCAAACTTACTTTTTGCATTATTTATCTGCCATACCCTTTCAAAAAAAATTTTTTTTAAAAAGGAGCACAAAGTGTTAATGACTTTCCCATACCTAAAGTAAGATAAATGAACAAGTTTGGTTGTGATAAGACTATGGTTAACCAATCATAACTTCAGAATTCCTCCGTGACACCGTAAGACCTCCCTAGAACACTTTTTCTCCACCACCAACTGCAACTGTTCCCATAAATCTGGTAACACAGTCAGAAAACGTCCCAGCTAAACACCCACAAGACTTCGTACAGCTCAACACCCTATATTGCAATGATCACAGCAGCCAAGGTAAGAAACATTTCACTGTTTTTGGTAATTCTTATCTTCTATAATTCAAACTTACTGAACTTTGAAAAAGAAAGTTTAACTGCATTTTATAAATTTCAGTTCAAAGTTAGGCAATAAAATGTTTGATATGACAAAATGCTTAATTTCTAAATAAATGCTTATCCGCTTATTTAGAAGACAGTAAGAATGAGACAACTGTGAAGTGAAAAGGGCCACATTCATTTTTAATCCTGGTTATTGGTTTGTCATTTTAATTTAACTTTCACTTTTATTTTGCTTTTCAAATGTGAATTTTTGCCCATTTAAAAATCTTCTAATTATGTTACCGTATTTGGTGGCATGGTGGTTTAATTTCCCCATACAAAAACAATCACTTAATTTTGTTATTTGCTACTCTGCTGAGAAACAGTGCAGGACTGAACTATTTACATCTGGATTAATATGAATAGTTGTGTAATTACAACATGCACATTATCAGTACACATATTCTAATATATTATGACTCCCTAGAATGAATATTAATAAAATGGAGTTTAAGAATATATAATACAAGCTACTTTTTAAATGCTCTGGAAGACTTTTTCTCTCTATAAAGTCCAGTAAACTTTATCTAACATTTCTAAAAATTCCATGCTTTTAATAAACTGAACTATATTAAATTCAATACTATATCATAAAGAACAAGTTTGGAAAATTTAAAACGCTTATCACAAACACATATAAAAGTCTTTTTCAAAGTCTTTCTCAATTTAGGGAATCATAATTCAACACTTTAAAAATAAAGTTATTTTGGCACATGAACATTCCTAAATAACTCATTTGAGCAAATCTGATTAAATTAATTTTTATTCTACTCCACCTATTAAAGAATATACTTTTGTCAAGTTATTGTTCTCCAGTGTTAATCAGTTTCCTCACCTGAATTTAGGGGAAAAAAAAGAAAAGAAATGCCCAGGAATGGAGATCCCACAATAAATTTTATGACTTCTCTTCAGATCTACTCTATTTTTAATATATCAATCCTCAATTTAATAAACAAAATGTTTCCCCATTCTTAAATCTGTCAGGGCATAAAAAAATAACATTATATTTCATTACTTTTTTCATATTTTATACATGTTAAAATAAAATCTAGCTCTAGAATTTTTAATTCCTATTACTAATGTTTATTTTACTTTTCAGTATGAATAAGAACTCTGAAATTCCATAAGGAGCTTTCCTTAAGACATGGAAAAACATTTCTGCTTTTATGTCTACATAGAGGCATCTTATTGCCTCTCAGTATCTTGTTTTCATAAAATATTTTTTCTTTGATATTATACAAATGTCACTCAGTACAGATGTTTTACATGCATATTTGTGCATTTTTATTCAAATACTTATCAAATTACATTCTCACACTTTAACTGGGGTGTTCATGAATTCTTTCATTGTACCAGAATTTCACTACATCACATACTGCTCCAAAAAGTATACAACTTCTAGAAAGATCAGAAATTCTATTAAAGATATCCTTACCTATTTAATGTGCCCAGGTTTATAGAAATTACATAGTTACAGTGACCATTCAAATTTCAAAAATAATATAGTGCCAGACGTTATATTCCAACTTGTTCATCTCTATCTTAAGGTGACTTTTATGTATTGTCCTTGTTTATAAAGATGTAGTTTAAAACTAAGTGCTAAAAAAAGTGTTAGATGAAATCAAATGGAAGAAATGTGAAAGATGTTTGAATTATGAAATACTAAGTTTTAAAAATGTGAAAGAACTACAGTATTGGCTTTACTAAGGAGAGTCACACAACTATCATTTACTAAAACTCAAATATCAAAATTATTTTAACAGTATTTTAATGGACATGAAGGAAAATAATTGCATTTGGGTTATATATTAATACATATCGTTTCTCAATCTAATTAGAGATAGGAGACTATTTGCATAAATAAAATAGTTCTAGAAAATAATTAAAATTTTAATGTATTTAAAATCAAATGTATTATGTATATATTAATCAAATATATTAAATGCTTTATTATATATTAAATTTTTAATTGATAAAATTACATTTTAACTTTAGATTACCTCCCTAAATTAGACAGTATATTTATTACCAATCCTAGAAATAAGGAGGATCAGTTAAAGCTTCCTTCTTTATTCTTAAAGAAAAATTTTCTAAATGCACTGCTGTATACAAATGTTTCATTTGATCTTCTTAATTCTCTGTATGTTTGATATTGCATCTCTATTTCACAATTTAGGAAACTGATGCAAAAAGAACTGCCCAAGGTCACAGAGCTAAGAAACGGGGTAACCTTGGCAGGAACCTAGGTTTTATGATGCTAAACCACATGTACATTCTATATGCTGATCAACATGGCTTAAATATAAATCATGACACTGACAAAGCAAAATAAATTGAGAGTCTTCGAATACTGTAAATGGTACTCTACAAGGCAAATTTAGAGAATACAAACTTCTATTTTAATTTAAAAACATTCTATTCCATTTAAGGTAACTTATACATCAGGCACTATATCCTTAATTTCATTTCTGACCCGCTCCTTCTACCATTTAAATATCCAACTCCATTTGTTTTGAGGTGCACAAAGGAATCCTGCTCCGTTATTTATGATATGAAAATCACTAACTTTCATCTAAACTGTGAATTAACACAGTGCTGATCGGTCATACCAGCAAAGGAGTAAACCTAAAGGTTGAAAATCAAGAAAATAGTTGTTCTAAATTACATAAATCAGGTAAGATGTAGTCTTTTTGAACATTTCCAGAAATAGTGCATCAATGTTCTTACCCTACATAATTCTGAAGCATGTATTACCAAACAAACAAAACACATGAAAATGAAGCTCTGGATATACATCTCCACGCCAGTATACTCACAGTCAACTGAGGACCTCTAGTGCTTTGTAAAATGTACTCCATCTTTAGGGCTTTCAAACAAACAAAAAGTTGACTGATTCACTCACATTAATGCGGATGTATTAAGTGGCATTCATTTTTCCTTAATACTTCCCCAACACTCCCTCCCCACATCCTCTTCCAAATAAAAGAATCTGAAGTTCCAATTCCTACAGGGATAAAAAGAATATTTTAATTGCAAAAAAATAATTTTTAAATCACTGTTTCAATATTTAATATAATAAATAATAATGAAGACAAACCTACAGACAAAATAGCAACAGCAAAATGCCAATTTCAGAGAAAAACCACTCCGTGTGGTTGTTTAATGAATTATCCTCAAGGCACAGGTTTAAAGTGTGCATTGTTATGGCGTCAATTTAGGAGTCAAGAATACATTGATTTTTGTTTGTACAATTCTTTTCACAACCAGGAAGATGTAGCTTGAAGACTCTTTCAAATAGCCAGTCTAGACCAACAAAGCTCTGAAACATTGCTGCCACAAAGTAACTTCAAATAGAACTTCCAAATTTAGTAGCAGGCAATCTCAAAAGGAAAATGTTTCTACCAGAGCAAACTTTTGTAAGTCAACAGACTGATCTTAATTCTAATGATGAACTGTATTAATTTCAACAAGTCACAAAAAGATGCCTCTGGCTTATCTGTGGAAATGATAAGGAGTAGTAGGAAAAAAATAAAAACCCAAATAATCCAAATACAGACAAATCCTGTTTATTCAAACTCAATCTATAAAAATTCTAATTATCTGAACCAATTAAACGGGGGGGAAAAAATCCTAAAATGTATTTCTCAGGTGGTCTTAGATGTTTATTATCTGAATTTACTAGCAAAATATGCCCATGATTTCTAAAATAATAACTAAGCAGACAAAAACAAAAGGAGAGAAGCAAAATTCTAAACTCTACAAATATAAAGAATCTCAAGAATTTATAATTTCAGCAAAAGGAAGACTCCAAAAAACCGAACTTTGGAAAGTTCTTCAAAGCACTGAAAGTGCTTAAGTTATAGGTAGGAGTCACTGTTCAGTATATATATACCTTCGTTAAGGTATCAAATGTCTAACAAGTTACAAAGCAGGGCAACAAAAGTTTTCAAGTCTATTGAGATTCCTTTTGTACAAGAATGGATCTGATATTATGTTGTTGAAACAGTACTCACTGCAGTCAAAGTAAGGACTCCTGCAGGAGTTCATACATAAGTACCTTCCACTAAACGTGTTGCCTAACATGCCACATGATACTTCTTGAAGAATTAAGAGTTGCCTGTTTTTTCTCTTTCCTTCCTCTACTTCAAAAAACAGAATACAATCTTGAACTTGATTTTTTTTTTAATTTCCAGTCTTACTTTTTTTAAGCAAAAAGGAAAAGAGGATGATCAAAGGCTTTATAAATCCCACAAAGAATAAGTTACATTCTTCCCATTCCTCCAAAAAATTAGAGCAATCATGAATCCCACAGCCATATGAGATACTCTGTGTGTACTTTTCTTCCTCTTACATGCAACTCAAGACAAAGAGATCTACCATTTCTACAACCAAACTCCTATCAAGCATCTTTCATATTTGCAATACTCTGATTCTAGGGCCTGGATAATGAATTAATTTTTTAAATTCATCTGTAAATGAATACTCGTCCTATCCCAAAAAACCCAATTTACATATATTGTCATACTTTTAATAAAAGGGGTGGGGGAGTGGGGAGATAATTTCCATCTCCATGGCTGTTTAGGCCAGATGCAAATTCAGAACATCCCAACACAATCTATTTCCGATTATCCTAAAAGAATGCTCTAAAGAGATCAGATAACATAAAAATAAAACTATTTGTCTATACTCTCTATTAAATACTACTCGATTAACAGTTTCACTATAAGAAAGGAAAACAAAGGCTACAGGACTTCTAAACTCATTGGGTGGTTTTTACTGCAGAGAAAAGAATGATGACAACCATGCCATGGATTACAATGTAGTGAAGGTCACAGACAACTCCAAAAATAGGACTGTGCTGTTCTCACATACAGCTTTTCAATTCTCAACAGGAAGCCCATCTTCCAGAGATGAAATCTGGCTTAAGTATTATCATACAGGTTTTGGAAGTTCAGCAGAATTAGGACTCAACACATTTCCCATTGTACCACTTTAAAATAAATTGAGCTCAATAAATTAAATGCATGCCACTAACATTTTAGCATGTAAAGCAGATTTGGTTTTAGTTCTACCATAAGATTAGAAAGTAACTACAAATCACTGTAGGATTATGACATGTTTCTAAATTTGACAAGAAACAGGACATTATCCTTGGTCATCTCCTTTACACCCAATTTGTTTCCAGGAACAAACTTTCCTTTTTCAATAGCAGTTGGCTGTTTTAATATTATGAGATCATCTCTTAAGTATATCAATTATACTTTCAACAGTAGAAAGCTCATCTCTTTTGGGCATACCTCTTTGTTATTTCACAAACACCAAATACTCATTTGTACAAAGCCTAGTTCAGGTTATGTTGTGTTAGTCAGGAGACTACGAACTTTGGTAAATCCTCTAAGCCTCAATTTCCTCATCTGTAATAGAAAGAGACTTGAGATGAATTATTAGACTTATGTGTTCAAACTATCAAATTCTGTTATTCTAACTGGTTAATCTGTTAATCACAGCCATTATCTTTGATCATTAACAGTTTTCTAAAAAATTTAGTCATAAAAATCCCTTAATTTTATTGATTTATCCAAACAGTACCAATTATGCACTAAGTACTAGGATACAAAATGAGCACATGGTTCCTTTACTCATAAACTAGAAGTCTAACTGAGGATACAAGCATGTAAATTGAAATTATAGTAAACCCAGGTAGATATACTGATACAGGTAACACTAAAGTCCTATTAAAAACCAACAGAGGTGATAACCAATTCTACCTTAATAACTAATGAAAGGTTTTATTAGGAAGTGGTATTTAAACTAGGCCTTAAGGATCAACTGAAGTTTCCTTGGCAGAGAATCAAAAGGTAGAGGGGGGTGGAGGGGGACATTCCAAGCAGAGGCAGAACAACATGTGCAAAGGACAAAATCATAAAAGGAACTGGAGTATTTATGGAAAGGTGACAGGTTTCATGTGACTGAAGTACCACTCATCAGTGTCTGGGTAGGAGATGACTCCTGTATATGCTTCACGATGAACTCCTGACCAACACTCCCCTTTTCCATGCTTTATCTCAAAATAATTTTTAAAATTCAGATCTTTTAAGACCATTTAAGACCTGAAACTTCACAAAAATCTAAGCTCAAATAGGAATTACCAAAGCTAATTATTTCTTTCTTAACTGCATTGTTCTATATCCTCATATTAAGCAACTACTCAAATATATAAAGGAATAAAGGAAATTTTCCCACAACTCTCCAATATTATAAATTCACTAGATTTATAACAAGCAAATATAAATAGAAGCAACTTAAAGGATGCATCACCATAAAAAACAAAAGAAAATCCCTTTGTTTCTATAGTATTTTATCCAAAGAATTCAAATGAAAGTAATTAAATTACAATATACCAAGTTTATGCTGGCATTTTGTAAGTAGGGACTGCTATAAGTTAAATTCAGCCTTTAGCTACCTGTGTTGGACGACGAAGAATATATGTGAGAGAAATATAGGTTGTTACCAACTCTTTAAGAGAATGAAGCTTGATATAAGTTAGCTGTTTAGAACTACTTACTATAGACCAATACTATGAAGGAGGACAGAGTCTCAAGCCAACTAGAAGCCCAGTCAGTCTACCATATAATTCAAAATAGAGCCAAGTTGAAATACTGAAAACTAAAGAACATAACTACTTGATACCACATGGTTTCTTTGTAAAAATAAATGCCATATTCTAACTGGTCATGCCTGATACATATTTTTCCCCTTTCCCATTCTTTCAGTACTCCTCTCTGCTCTCTTCAGCTGACAGGGGCTGATAGGTTGAGGTAGGCTTTCATGGGATATATAGAGACTATGCAGAAATGAAATCTGGCAGCTGGGGTAAGGTAGTACTATCTTGATTAACAATGATATATCAACAAATGTTACAGTTATTATTTCTTGACTGTTAGGTATGGGTATTTTAAATTTTTTTCTTATTTCAAAATTGATGTATAAGTAGCCTGACTGTGAAAAAAAAAAATGCCCAAATGTTAATAGCCATTATATCTAAACAGTTAATTTGCAGTTAATTTTTAACCTACATCCAATTTTCCTATAATGACATGTTGCTTTTATTTTGTTTTGTTTTATTTATTAACTATCTATGCTTAGGCCTCACAGGCAACAATATCTTGTGGGAGCTCTGAAAAAGAGGCAAAACAGAAACCACTGCTCTTAAGTACAGGTCATCTGTAAATCGGAACTGTCTGTGGTAGACAGTGCGATAATGATTACTTAATTACTTTGCCCTCCAATCTTGATAGTCTTCAGTACTTAATATCAAATCTTGCTAAAATGTTATTTAACATTAACATTCTACAAATCTGTAAAATCATAAAAAGGAAAGACAAACAATTTGAATTTATGCTTCTGATAAATCACTTCTCATTTAACTATTTTATTTTAGATTAAAATTAAGATCCAGGGACTAATTTGTTGTATGCATTTCTTTTTATGAGGTTGACTCTGGAGCTATTAATATGTAAATGTCCACACCAACTATATTTACATAAAAACAGACTTAAAGAGACCATATGTAAGAACTTTGCCCAAAGGTATAGCCAAAACAAGCTGTACTCTAAACCAAATAATACTTCCAGTCAATTTGGGAGAAGAAGGCAAAGACTGAAGTTACTACACTCCAAGCACAAGACAAATGAGACTGTCATGTTTCACCTCACTAAAAGAGACAGAGAGACAGACAGACACATAGAAAAATACGAGTATGTGTGTACACACACACACACTCTAGAGACATTTGATGTTATAAATACAAATAGTATTGAGGAAAATAAATTGATGCAAAATTGTGTTTTATCTATTCAGAGAATAAGTTACACATATGATCCTAATCCTATTACTATTTTTACATTCCAGACTACCTAAAAGAAGATAGTTACCTCACATCCGGCTGCCAGCTTTTTATTTTTCTCCTGACCATTTAAAACTTCAGACTTCCTGCCTTCCTGGTGTCATGGAGAAAGTCCAATACCTCACTCGCTCTGCTATAAGAAGAGCTTCAACAATTGAAATGCCTCAGCAGGCACGCCAAAATCTCCAGAACCTATTTATCAATTTCTGCCTCATCTTAATATGTCTCTTGCTGATCTGCATCATAGTGATGCTTCTCTGAAGTTCTCCTGCAACCTCCAGATCTACAACTTACCTAATCAACTTAAAATCTGCCATCCCATGAAGAGGGGAAAACAATACAGTATAACAGGCCACTTCCTGAGTAGAAGAATTTCCTTGTGAAATGGTCAAGAGTAAAACAAATTGTTAGCAAATGTATTCATCTGCCAGATCTTGTAAACATGAAAAGGGTTTTATTTTTAAAAAATAACTTTAAAGTGACTATAATATACGTATAATGTAATTGTTGATTTCCTAAACATGGCTTATAAATTTCTATCCCAAATCTTCTCTGAGGATGAAGTAGTTTAGTTTTGAAACAGCACTGCTAATAGGTTCACTTCATATATAAAGTATTAACTTTACTCTTTGGGGTAAATATAATTTATATTACACTGCAAAAGCTTCTTCAATACTTTCTAAGTATTTTTCAGGTCTACACCACGTACCAAAATAATAATTCAAATGAAGTGTCATTTTTCAAAATAGTCCACTGAATCCTCAAATCTCTTATCTTTACTATTATAATACAGAAGCCTCTGTAGTAACTCTTTATCAAAACCTACATTCTAAAATAGAAATTGTATTTTTGTCCTATACCATATTAACATTTTTAAAAGTTTATGAGAATCAAGTAAAGTAAGGCCATACTCTTACATAAATAAAACTCCTCTTAACTAATTTTTTCAAAGAATTACAGAATTCTAATGCATGTAGGTAAACCATAAGTCTGTTCTCTCTAGGACATTATGATCCACAAATAAGAACTAGTGGTTAATTTAACATCTGACAGTGAGATTAGCCATAATTACTAATACACTAACAGAATAGAGTATAACCCTAACTTAAGGCACTGCAGTAGATTATCTGAGCTACATTACCTACATACCTTTGGAATCAAGAAATCTTAAGACTTCAGAATGATTTTATAGCTTGTCTTTTATTCCAACCTCATACTCAATATAAGCAAAAAAATAAATAATAAAAATAAAAGATTTTCAATGACAGTAAAACACATTTAAAACATTAAAAAGAATAAAAATTTGAATTCTCTTTCCAAATATTAGCCAATTCTTAGATTAAATTTTGAAATAAGGGCCGAGCCCGTGGTGCACTCAGGAAATTGCGGCGCTGGGAGCGCAGTGGCGCTCCCGCCGTGGGTTCGGATCCTATATGGGGATGGCCAGTGCGCTCACTGGCTGAGCGCAGTGCGGCCAGTCTCAAAAAAAAGGACAAAAAAAAAAGTTTGAAATAAACTTTTTATCCCATCTATTATTTATAATAGGATATAGATATTTTCCTTAGTCTATCAACCAGATGGTAAACACCTATTGGTAAGCCACTCTTACTGAGCAATGCTAATCTATAATTGTTTTCTCACTAAATACATTTTCAGTTTCCCCTCTGATCATTTTAAAACATATTCCAACAACTAACAAAACAATAGAAGCAAAAATTGATGTTGAAAAATAAAAGGTACTTCAAAAAGCTTGTGGAAAATTGGAATTGAAAGATAACATAAATCTTTACACAAACTTTTTGAAGTACCCTCATATATTCACCAAACTTTAGTAATTTAAATAGACTCAAGTTTAAAATTAAGTCTAAAATGGTTTACACCTATACTGTATAATCCAACAATTTTAACTTCAGTTCAAGACATGTTACTAATACAGCAAGTATTAAAGAAGTAGAGAATGTGTAATTAATCATATTTTCTAAAATATGGTTACCAAAATAATTTGAAACATCACTATTAGTCTTGGTTTCTAACACAAATTTTACTAACTTAATAGTGAAGGTGACACTGCTTTTAAATTATCTGAATCTCTTAAAGGTACTGGAGTGGAGGAGGGCAATAATTTTGGTTCACAGATATCCGAGGAACAGAGGGAAAAGGTGTGTCATATTACAGAGATTTCTTAAGTGAAGCCTTACTTACAGGCTGGAAATCCCTGTTAACAACTAGAGAGCTTATAAATAACAGGTGATACACTCTTATCATTGGTCTCAGTAATTACCTAAGCAAAAAGTATACAAGTTCTATAATTAGCTACACTGATCTTAAAAACAAGTGGAAAATTTGAACTAAGTCCTATTCTTTTCAGTACATTGTTCATTACAACACCAATATCAAATTATTAACTGTGAAGTTATGCCTCAGTAAAACAGAAATAATTTTTTGTTCTTCACTCTGTCTTTGATAGAAATTAAAGCTTTATACTGTGAGGGTTACAGGATTCTATAACTCAGATTATTATAACATAGAACAAAAACCCATTCTTTAAATGAAACATTCTGTTTACCATGATGTTAAGAGTAAGATATAAGAAAACAATGTATTTAAAATTTTTAAATATGAAATGCTCAAATACTTTCTACTATGGAATAAATTCTAATCTTAATCTACAGGGTACTAAAGAAGAACTAATTTTTAAATGTTTAATGTGCCCTTTTATATTTTAATTGGTTAAAAAATGTGTATTTCTTTAATGCAAATCATCAGAATGCTCCATATTAAAATGAATATTCTTGAACTCAGTGAAATTGCTATAATATACTCATGGTTGATAACGACTATAAAACATTCTAATTATAAACAGTTTTAATTTTATAGGGTTTTTTTGGTGACTTTTCCCCAAAAAAATAAAATCAAGATTTCCTAGTACAAACACAAGAGGGCAGACCTATATAAAATAATGTATGTGCTACTACCTAGAAATCACTTATCCTTTGATTATTTTTTAGTCTTCTGGCAGAGAGGAAATGCAATAAATTTTCAAAAACGATCTGCTGTTCTACTAAGTAACAGCACATGTTAAAATATATAGAAATTACGGGCCGGCCCGGCGGCGCCGCTTGGGAGTGTGGCGGCGCTCCCGCCGAGGGTTCGGATCCCACATACAGACCAGCCGCTCACTGGCTGAGCGAGGTGCGGGCGCAACACCGAGGGTTGCAATCCCATTGCCGGTCCCGGTCCGGTACGGGCGCAACACTGAGGGTTGCGATCCGTTGTCGGTCACGAAAAAAGACAAAAAGGAAAAAAAAAAAAATATATATATATATATATATATAGAAATTATATACTAATATTATATACAAAACTTCACAGATAAAAAAGAAAACACACTGATTTTATTAAAACGTGCATGTAAAAATCAACTATATGCTTTTTAGCTACTTAATTAATGTGTCATAATGCCATATCCTACCTATAGAGAGTCACAGTATCCACACATCTTTCAATGCACAGTTAGATGATCTCAAACAGTAAAATAAAGACAAAACAGGGTGCAAAAATAAAGAATTTTAAAAAAGTAAACTATTTCTTTTCACAGGACATAACAGAATACATAAAATACCCCCCAAGTTAGAAATAAAACTCTTTCATTCTTTTTTTTTTTTTTTTTTCCTTTTTGCCTTTTTCGTGTCCGGCAACCCTCAGTGTCGCGCCCGTACCGTACCGGGACCAGCAACGGGATCGCAACCCTCGGTGCTGCGCCTGCCCCTCGCTCAGCCAGTGAGCGGGAACCGGTCTGTATGTGGGATCTGAACCCTTGGCGGGAGCGCCACCACGCTCCCAAGCAGCACACTGTAGCAGTGCGCCACCGGGCCGGCCCAAAACTCTTTCATTCTTATTTCATGTTAGAAAATAACTAAGTCTTTTAACTCTAAGCCATTTATCCAATTTTTAAGAGAAAAATCTCCAATAAAATGTTAAAATCATAAGGCGCCAATACCTTGATTGATCAAGCCCCTTTATGATTTAAATAGGTACAAAATTTCATCTTCCTTTTTTTAATGATTTCCACCCACAGTTTAGAAACATCCTAGGAAATGTAAGGGAAAAAAGGACAAACAATTTTTTCAGTTGAGAGACCACTACTTCATTACTATCTGAGAGATCCACTGTGGACCTACAGGAATCCAATGCACGTTGTTATGTGTAGGCATGTACATCCTCCACCCCTTCCACCCCCCAATAAAAGAAACTCAAGAGGGACATGGAGAGGAAAGTATTCTTCCCAAAAAGAAGATAAGGCTTTGTCTTTCTCTTCTGTCACAGTCCTTACAGGGTCAGACAGCTTGAGGGGTGGGGGGAACAGAGGAAAGAACCAGACTAATGGAGGACATCGCACATGGAGCCCTAAACCAAGTGATGGCATAGATGGGTTCTCTTCATTCACAAAGGAAGATGTTTCAGAGTACTACACTACCTGTACTGTATATGGTTTAGCAGAAAACCATAGAAATCAAGGAACTCAATGCACATAAGACTGTATGGTTGGCTCAATAATTATTCTGGACTAAGTCCTAAGAAGAGCAAAACTTTCATGTTACAAATCAACTTTTTCCAAGGGGCAGTGGATGAGGGAAGGAGGCTGTGAGGATCAAATGAGATAAAATACTCTGAAAGCTACAAAGTGCTTTATAAATCTACGCTGTTATAAGATCATGACTTTCAGACTAATTGCTTTTCTAAGTTGTAAAAGAATTGTTTTTTTCATGGTGAGAGCTTAGCAGTTGTGCTTGAAAATCACAATTTATCAGATGGGCTGTTCCTTCTCTTCATGTAAAAATTAGACTAAAAGAAAGTCATTATTTCAGAGACTTTTAAAAAACAACTACGATGAGAAATTTTAAAATAAAGAGAACACTTGGAGGCTCCAAGGAGAAGGTATTTAAGAATGTTTTCTGTAGTGGTCCAAGAAGGAAATTAGAAAAGAAGCAGTCACTTAAAGATCACAATTGAAGTGTCCAGTTTTCTTTAACTGGCTTTATCTTTCTACTCCAAGACTTAAAAGGACTATAAAGAGACCATCCCAAATAAGGCTAATCAAGAAGTAGGGCTTTCCAGGGTACATACAAATTTTCTCCATTAGGAGCCTCTTGTTCTATCACGTACTAGGAAGATTTAAAAATAAGTTATTCTCCCTAATACCCCTCCAACCTCCCAACCCTCTCTACATTTCTTCAAGGTTAGGGAAAATCTTGTTTAAAGCAGAAGTTCATCCAAGCAGAATGAAAGAAGGAGTGAATTAGTATTTTCTCAGTTATCTTTCTATCACACCTTCTTCAGCTTGGAGTAGTATACTCAACTCCTCTTGGACAACTCTAAGTCTAGGTAGAGACACAAGCTGTAGAAATGACTGCCTGGTCCCTGTTCTCCTACAGTCACAACATTTGAGAACTAAAATGTGACGGTATTTAAAAAATTAGTTTTCCTATCTTTCAATCACTTGAATTGATAAATTACAAATGAGTCTGGTTAAATAACTCTTTCTTAATTTGTAATTCAAACATCATAATGATGCTTCCATTTGGTTATATGTTTAAATATACATAATCAAGATTATAAGAATTGTGTTAAAGTAAAAATAAAGAAGGCACATGGGATGTGTTAAAAGTTCTCCTATGAATTTAGTACATTAGGTTGTACGTACATTTGGGGGCTGTAATCAGGTTTGTGAGGTTCCTGGCTAAGTGATCTCCTTATCCTTTCATAGACTGTAGCCCTTCATTCTTTATTCTTTTTTATTAGTAATACTTATAGTAATAAAATAATAATTTAAAACTTTTACTCAGCAAAATATTGAAATTTTTGATAGAATTAATTTGTTCCAGTAAACTCTGATAATAAAAAATGAATAACAGGGTTTATGTTAGAAAACTGGTTTCCCAGTTAAAATAAGCTATGAAAATTATCTGGAATAGTAACATTTCCAGATCAAGAAATTTACACATTTATATGTTATTCCCTAGACACATTAGGGATTACATACTATTTTTCTTTATATATGGTATTATCATAAAGTGCTTTCCTTAAACTGATTACCAAATATGAGGGCACTTCAAAAAGTTCATGGAAAAACTGAATTAAAACCCAATACAAGGACATGAACAATACATGAACTTTCTGAAGACCCCTCATAAATCTTGACAGCCAAGTTAAATGCATTTAATTAAGTACATCTGATTTATAAACCTAAATACATGTCAAACATTAGCAAAACTTTACAAATGACTTTAGTTCCACCTTCTCATTTTATAGATGAAGAAATAGAGACCCAGAGAAATTAAGTGATAAGAATCATCCACTTTCTAAATCTGATAGAACCATAAACAAAATCCAAAACTTTATACTCCCAAATTAATGTTCATTCTAGCACACCTTGCTAACTTCTTTGTTTCTGTTTCAAGTTCCTTTAGATTGAATGTTTTGCCTTGTTTATTTTTATGCAAATGAGAAGAAAAGTAAATACCTAAGTACCAAGTTAGTTACAAGGTTTTAAGTTTTTCATGCTAATTAGTCTCGAACACTTTTCAAGTTTATATCATTTATGCTTATGAACTTGCAGAGAAAAGTGAAACAAACAATCTGTTACTGTGGACACTGTCACATGCTAATTGCAAGTGTGTTACTGTACTCTTAACATCCACTGGAGGGAAGCAAACACTAGATTTTGAGCTTTACCTGCATTGGTGTTTCACTTCTTTGTTGAAACTCTTCAATTTGCTGCTGTTGCCAAGGAGCTAAACTGTAAGAGTCCTCTGTAGTTCTACCTTCCAAAGGGTTTGTCCGCAACTGTTCTGTAAGCCACATCTGAGTCCTCACAGAAGGCTGAATGGGAACTCCACCTACTGCCTGTTGACCAAGCATTAAGTATTTTGGAGATTCATATGCCTCTGAGCTCATCATAATAGGCTTGCTTTCAGGTAAGGCACTATATGTCATGTCTAAGGTCTGTCTCGTAAGAGCACAGGAAGAGGCTTTAAAGTCCTCTTTGCTACAGCTCTCAAATTTATACTTGCAGTCCAGAGTTGATGACCGCTTTTTATTTACTTCCTTGTCCCCCAGCTTAAGCATCTCCATGCTATCATGTATGCAGCCAGGCCCACTTGTCCTTAGTTGTGATGTTAAAGCCTTGCCCCTCCCTGTCTTTTCCAAACCATTCCTCGACTCTTCTGTGTGTACAGTGCCACCCTGGCAGCAGTTATCCATGGCAGTGAGTTTGGATAAAGATGACCATTTCCGAAGAGGATGGAAGTCCTTCATGTCTAGTGAAGAGTCCTGCTCCCCGCTACTGTGGTTTTCCAGTGTTTGCATGAGGCTTGTACTCCATTTTGAGCCATCTGATGCCAATGATTCCCTATGTTTGAAAATTGAAGCACTGGAGTTAGATGGCATCACATGGGCAGTAGGAAGAGTAACCAATGATCGACTAGGCTTAAAAGATAATGTGCCGCTTGAAGTTGAATGATCTGGAAAGAAAAAAGATTTCCAAATGAGTTACAATTAAAAGGAAAAAAGAGAATGAGGCAAAATGCAAAATGCCAAAAAAGAAATGTGAACTTAGTGTCCCGGCACAAGGTTTACAGGGCTACTTCCTCAAAATTAGGAAATTATATTATTCCTTTAAGTTTATCTGAAACAAGTCAGTTTCAAACACTATTTTCTATATATCGATAAATAATAAAGTATATGCCCTTTCACCACCTACTTACAGATAAAAAAAAATGACTGGAAAATAGGTTTATATTTACCCTATTTAATCAAAGTATTATGCCTTTAAAAGAAAAAAAAAATCCATCTCCCTACTGAGAGGTCTTACTCATAATTCAGCACTGAAGTCCCAGACACAACTCTATCAGAAAATGGTATTTTTCAAAGTCTTTCCTGAACTGTGGAAATCTATGCCAAATCTGAACATTTCAGCACCTCCCTAAACTCTAATTCAAAACAGAAATATGAGTAAAAGAGTTCCTACAATAATGGAAAATAATCAGAAAGGGTCCTAGCAATATATTTGCAGAGACAGAATAGTTCCTAAACGTCCAGTCTCATTTACGGGATCATCAATGATATAAAATTCAAGCTGAAATCGTGGCCTCTACTTTCATTCCTATCTTCTTCTGTATATTCATTAAATCCCCAAATTGTGAATTTTTACTTCCAAAATGACTGAATTATCAGTCATTATCAGGGCCTTAGGTCAGGCCCTCAAATCACTCTATTCTATACACAGGTATAGTTTTAGTAGGCTCTAGGAAAGACTAAAAGATAAATAAGTACCTCTACACTTAATAATCTTACCATCAAGCGCAAAATCATCATATATACCAATTAAAACCAAAGATTATAATTTTGTTATCAAGGGATATCTAGAAAGGGGATAATAATTTGAATTGATGGGGATTGGAGGTGAGTGATGAAAGGCAACTTCCACATTTTATTCTATATCTTTCCATATTGTTTTACTCTTATACCAGAATATATTTAAATATTACTTTGGTGCAGATATTGTTTTAAAGAAATAAAGTAACAGGAAAAGAAATGTTGATAAGGTCATAAGAAAATTCAGATGAGAATGAGCTAGGCAGACTAATTCAAAAATCCAGTCGATCTTTGCATAGAATTTGTTCACCTGGAGAAGAAAATGGACAAATATTGCAGATGGAGGAATATGAGCAAAAGTACAATAGTTAACATCTATCATATTCAAGACTGCCTATTAGCTTCTACAGAACCTTTCTGTATTTACGAAAATTCTCATCTTATGAATTCAACCTCCCAAAATAAATTTCAGACCTCAAATTGCCAACATACCTACAGCTATGATGCAGACATTCAGAATCACCTGCACAAGATATCACTTTGGAAGTGAGTCACATGAGAAAATGGGCTCTATGTGGAGCTACCCTTTTCTGGCTGGTATAGTGGTATAGACAATAGCACAGGCATCAGTTTTCCACAATGACATAGACAGAGGAGGCCCCACAGTAACAGTAGAATCAAGTTCCTAGTGCAGAAGTGGCAGCACTGGTGGTTTCCTCCCATATATAGTAGGCAGGAGAGTGATGGTTCTCAGATGTGATTTGAGGCATAATACCTGGAAGCTTAACCTTAAGCCTGGTTCTCCAGGCCTCTCAAAAATTGTGTGAAGTACCAAATACCCTTAAATAAATTCCTCATCTGCTCAATCAGCCAGTCAGCTTCTTCTGCTAATTAAGAACATTGAATGATCCAAGCATAAAGCCAGGAGAATGAAGCTCTAAAAGAAGAAAAACAAAGTCTTCAATTTATCTGCATTGTGAAGTTAAGAGTCAAGAATAACTGCTCAAGGTAATTCTTGAAAAGTGAAGGTGAAGCACAGACCTACAAATCTTCAAACACTCTGCTAAGGAAAGAAAATGGCTTTCATTCAGCAAGAAATATGATAACTCTGAAAGTTTTCAAACAAAGGAGTGAGTGACATGATCAAAGCAGTACTTAAAATGATTATTCTGGTAGCGGAGTTGAGGATGGATTAAAGAAAAACAATTGACCACCACATTGATCAAGAGACTGTTATAATCAGTAGAACCAGAAAATAGAAAGGAATATGCTACTGAGAGTTGGTTATAATTGAAATGGAACAAATACTGCCAAAAGTCTATGGAATACTTGTATTAATATATTATATAATAATCCTAAAGTAATAGTTGTGTTAAAATCATCATAGCCTCCTAAAAATATCTTTTATTCTTAAAAAACAAAAAAGTTTTATATCAAATTTGAAATTTTCAGTTTTTTACATTTAAAAGTTGCAGGTAAAAATATAGTATAAAATATAAGTGCAATAGTTTTGAAATCGGTCTTTTTAGATTCAAATTCTGACTACCAATAAGTAGTTATAGGTACTCAAACAAGTTATTTAACCTGCCAGCATCACAGTTGTCTTACTCATAAAGTGAGAATGACAACAGCGAGGATTATATGAAATAATATTCATAAAGTACTCAGAAGAATTCCTGGCACAAAGCAAAATGTCAGTTATTATTATACTATTAAAAAAGCTAAAAGTAAATGTTATTTTCAATATAACACAAAAAAGGCTAAATATCCATACAAACAAAAATCTAGCAGCCCAATTTTGAAATCGGCAAAGGAAATAAATAACTAAATCACCAAACAAGAAATACAACTAAAGAATGTGTATTTAAAAAGAAAAAAATCAGATACTCAAACTCACTAATAGTAAAAGCACATGATATTATCTATCATATTCATAAAATTATTAAAGGTGACTAACTAAAATGATGAAAATGTAAACTGTTGTAGCCTTTGGAAGTTGAAGAGCAATTTGTGTATATTAATATTTTAAATATGAATACATGTATGTAAATACACATATATATGTTATGAGCACAGAAACGGTCTGGAAGAATATACCCAAAATTTAGTAAACAAAGGTAATCTCCTGTACAGCGGAAAGAGGGCAAAAGAAGAAAGATGCTTTCACATTTTACTTCACTTTAATTTTTTTCTCAAGAAACAATGATTTACCTTCGGTCAAACCTTCTGCAAAGGTGTTTTGTTGTCTTGTGACCTCAAGGAGTTTGAAATACCTCAAATAAAGAACACTTTTAGTAACGTATCAATAATATATCAGGTAACTGTCTCACTTTCCATGTCACAGATGAAACCTCTGAGACCATATCACCAGTCTTGGCTGCTACTTACATCTGAGAGTGTGCTATCAACTCCAAAGAATATCAGCAAATAGTGTTAAAAACCAATTCCACATCAGACTAGTGTTTACTCCTGTAACTCTGAAAGCAATTGATATACGTTGTTCATGGAATATTATGCTGAGCACAGAATTTACTCCTAAAAGTTCCTTATTAGAATTTCTCAAACTTTAGCAAACAAAAAAAGTTACCAGGGATCTGGTGTTCTAGCCCAAGAAATTCCAATACAGTAAGAGTAGAAAGGGGTTCAGGAAAATACCACTTTTAAGTAAGTGATTCTGCTATTCCGTTCACTATAACATCATTCCATCTGGGTCTGATTCCAGTTCTGAAGCCCCCAAGCTTAAATACCCAAAGTTCAACCACAACCAGTATCTTGAGTTGTAGGGTCAAATTTTATTTACTGTGACATGCAGAATTCATTACTGTCAAAACTAAGGATCAAAGCTTAGTCTATTCACACACATATGCACATACACACACACTTGCACACGACACATGAATAAATTAACAAGGAATTAAATATTTGACAGTATGAATCCCTGGGGAAAAAAGGACCATTACATCAAAGAGATGAGTCCAGAAAATGTGGATTTTAACACTTTAAAAAATTTTTTGCCCTAAGGAAACACAGTTAATTAGAGGTAGATGCAATGCAATTCCTAATGTGCTTTTTTTTTTATTAAGCTACCTAATAGTAGCCACAAATCCCAAATGCAAGTTATTACAATGGCATCTAGCCCACATCTAAGTTAGAACAGTGAAATGTGAAACTAGGAGAAAGTAGTTCTTTTAAAACCCAGAGGACATGGCTTATAGCTATTATAAAAATGACTGAGAATAACAAATGCTGGCAAGGATGTGGAGAAAGGTGAACTCTTCCACATGGTTGGAGGGACTGTAAATTAGTACAGCCACTATGGAAAACAGTGAGGAGTTTTCTCAAACAACTACAGATAGATCTACCATATGATCCAGCAATCCCACTTCTGGTTATATACCCAAAGGAATAGAAGTCATCATGTCAAAGGGATACCCCTGCACTCCCATGTTCATCGCAGCTCTATTTACAATAGCCAAGATTTTGGAACCAACCTAAATGTCCATTGACAGACAACTGGGTAAGGAAAATGTGGTGGTATATATACATAATGGAATATTACACAGCCTTAAAAAGGAATGAAATTCTGCCATTCACAGCAACATGGATGAGTTTGGAGAAAATTATGTTAAGTGAAATAAGCCTGGCACAGAGGGAAAAATACTGCATGTCATCACTCACAAGTGGGAGCTAAGAGAGAAAGAAGGAAGGGAAGTCCAACACACTGGTATGTTGGACTTGCAGAGGGAGAGAGAGACTTAGGGTTGTGGGAGGGTTGGGGGGGTTGGGGAGAGGTTGGGTTGGGGATACCACATGGAATAACTGCATTTTGAGGTGGTTAGCATGCTGTTAACATTGATCTGCTCACCACATCTTGGGCGCAGGTGCTGACAGTCAGCTCTGTGCCCCATGAATATGTATAATCAATAAAAATAAAATAATAAATAAAATAATAAAAGTAACTTGATTAATTAAGCTTCTCAGCAGAAAAATTTAGGGCTTTTCCACCAAGTTTGTCAGTTATAACATGTTGGATTTTTTCTTTGTTATATCTGAAGCCAAAGACATAATATATATATTAGTTCCCAGGTCTCCTTTTATCTAAATAAATCTTCTGTAAAAAATAAAATTCTTATGCAGACTCTAAAAA